CATAGTTTGTGTGAAGGTTGCATCTTTGGCAAACAGAGAAGAGTAAGTTTTTCCGAAGTAGCATGGGAACCAAAGGCAAGGAAGTTGGAGTTGGTTCATACAAACGTGTGGGGACTCACTCCTATGTCATCCCGTGGAGGCTCAAAGTACTATGTGACGTTCATTGATGACGCCAGCAGAAAGGTATGGGTTTATTTTTTGAAAAATAAATCTGATGTTTTTGATACATTTAAAAAGTGAAGAGTCATGGTTGAAAATTAGACAAATCTAAGGGTGAAGTGCTTGCAATCTGACAATGGGGGAGAGTACATTGATCAAGGGTTCAAAGAATATTGTGCCAATAATGGGATCAAGATGGAGAAAACCATTCTTGCAACTCCTCAACAGAATGGTGTCACTGAAAGAATGAATAGAACCCTAAATTAGCGTGCAAGACGCATGAGATTGCATGCTGGACTACCACAGACATTTTGGGCTGAGGTAATTACTACTGCAACCTACTTTCTCAATAGAGTAGCCTCCGTATCGCTAAATTGCAAGATCCCAGAAGAAGTTTGGAGTGGCAAAGAGGTAAATTATTTTTTCTTAAGAGTGTTTGGTTGTTTAGCATATGTTCACATTGACTCTACTTTTAAAAGTAAGTTTGATGCTAAATCTAACAAATTTTTTTCATTGGTTATGGTGATGCCGAGTTTGGTTATCATTTCTGGGATAACCAAAACCGCAAGATTATAAGAAGCAGAGACATCATATTCAATGAAGAAGTGATGTACAAGGATAGGCTCAACATGAAGTTAGAAAATCCAAGTATTGAAGTGAAGAAGCAAGAGGTAGTTCCTTTGAAAGACTTCCCAATGAATGGCATACAAGACAATGACTAGAAATATCAAGATAATATAGCTCAAGAAGTTGAACCACAAATGCCCATGTTTAAACCTAGAAGATCTTCCAGGACTATAAGATCACCACAGAGGTATTCCCCTTCTCTGCACTATATTTTACTAACTGATGGTGGTGAACCAGAGTGTTAAGAGGAAGCAATGCAAGTTGATGACTCAATCAAGTGGGAGCTAGCTATGAAGGATGAGATGGACTCATTATTGACAAATCAAGCCTGGCAGTTGACAGAGCTACCACAAGGGAAGAAGGCATTGGAAAACAAGTGGGTTTATCGGGTGAAAGATGAACGTGATGGCAGTAAATGATAAAAAGCAAGACTGGTCGTGAAAGGATTTCAGCAGAAAGAATGCATTAACTACACTGAAATTTTCTCTACATTTGTTAAGTTGACTACAATAAGAACAGTACTTGGTTAGTGGCAAAAGAAGACCCTCATCTTGAGCAATTAGATGTAAAGACGACATTTCTTCATGGAGAATTGGATGAAGAAATTTATATGCAGCAGCCACTAGGTTTTAATGTACAAGTAAATGAGAGAATGGTGTGCAAACTTCAAAAGAGCCTATATGGACTAAAATAGGCACCTGGACAGTGGTACAAGAAGTTTGATGGGATTATGTGTAGTAACGGTTTCCTCAGATGCCAAGTAGACCATTGCTGTTATTTCAAAAAACTTGGTACCTCCTATATCATCCTATTATTATATGTAGATGACATGTCGATTGTAGGGGCTTGTAAATAGGAAATAGACAAGCTTAAAAGGCAATTGTCAAAGGAGTTTGCTATGAAGGATTTGGGAGCTGTAAAACAAGTCCTTGGTATGAGGATTACCAGAGATAGAGCCAAAGGTTTCTTGAAGCTATCATAAGAAGAGTATGTGAAGAAAGTACTCAATAGGTTTAACATGGGTGGAGCAAAGCCAATAAGTACCCTTTTGGCTAGTCATTTTAAACTATCCAAAGATCAGTCACCTGCAACAAAATATGAGCGACACTACATGGCCAAGGTACCCTATGCATCAGCGATTGGCAGTCTTTTGTATGCCATGGTGTGTACAAGGTCAGACATAGCACATGCAGTAGGAGTTGTGAGTAGGTACATGAGCAATCCAGGAAAGCAACATTGGGAAGCAGTGAAGTGGATTCTTAGATATTTGAAAGGTACTACAGATTCAACATTATGCTTTAGGAGGTCAGACTTAGAGCTACAAGGTTATGTGGATACTGATATGATTGGTGACATTGATAACCGCAAGAGTACCATAAATTATGTCTTTACATTAGGTGGTATAGCGGTTAGTTGAGTTTCAAAGTTACAGAAGATTGTTGCTCTTTCTACTGCAGAGGCAGAGTATGTTGCTATGACAGAAGCTAGTAAGGAGCTAATATGGTTATAATGGTTCCTAGAAGAATTGGGTTAGAATTATGGGAAGAGTGCTTTGTATTGTGATAGTCAAAGTGCAATTCACCTAGCAAAGAACCTAGTTTACCATGCTAGGACAAAACACAAAGAAGTTCGTTACCATTTCATACACTCAGTTTTAGAAGAAGGAGTTATAACTCTCGAAAAGATTCAAGGGAGTAAAAATCCAACTGATATGTTTACGAAGGTGGTTACACTTGAGAAACTGAAGTTGTGTACGACTTCAGTTGGACTTCTCGCTTGAAGAAAGAGAAGTTGATGTTGCTACTGATGGAAGTGAAGAATTGAAGGACATGTTGAATTAGTCTCCAAGTGGGAGATTGTCGAGATTGTGGAGCCAAATTCAATCCAAATTAGAGTTGGATTAGGACATGGGTTTTCCTAATTTGTGTTTAAGTAGAATTGTTTTCTTTTAGGAATACAATTGGAAATAGGATTATAATTGTATTAGGAATTAAAATATAATTCCTATTAGGATATAGGATTTGAGTCCTATTAGGAATTGTGTCCCATGTATTACCTATAAAAAGGGGTTAAGTTCTAGAGTTAGATAACACAAATCGAATAGAAGGCAGAGCCACAATTAAAGTGAGCGCCACTAAATACTGTTTAGTGAGTGAGCCAATTTGTGAGGCTTGAGAGATTCTTGTAATTTTTCTTCTTCTTCATAGTGAAATTCTGCAGCGGCAAAGTGGATGTAGTTCTCATACAAAGAGTAAATCACTATAAATCTTGTGTTTGTGTGTGGTTATTTTGTGTCCTTGTTCGCATTATTTTTCGCTTTCAGGGATTTATGATTTGCTAGTATTCAATTAAATCCCCCCAACACGTCGAGCCTTTGCTACAGTTGTTTGATTGTAGGGCAATGACTAGTTGGGTCACTACTGGAAAACTGGTTTGCTCTAACACTAAACTTGACATAATTTGACATTCTTGCAATATGTCGATGCCAGTATGTGTTGGTGACTTATTTGAAATACCCCGATGCAGATTGCATCAAAGCATATAGAAAGTACGACACAATTGATTTGTGTTGAGAGGCCTAAACGCAAATCGGTAAACCTCCAACATTTGATATTTATTGGGGAGTAAACTACATTTTCCCACCCAAGGTTTGGCCTAATGATAGTTTACCATCCGAAAAGTTTCGGAATGACACTTTCTCACCCACAAGTCAACTTCGTTAGTGAATTTCCTTCTGAAGAAGGGTAAGATAGTCAAAATCCATTAAAAAGAAGGATGAGATTGTCAATTTACATGATGTTGAAAAAATCAAAATTTAAAATTCAAATTCTCGATCAATATAGCAGCTGAATGGTTGCCACGTGTCCCACCAAAGTTGACTTAATAGAAAAGGGAAAAACAAGTCATTTGCCTTATGAGGGTGTTTGGTTGGGGGTTATAAGGGTGTTTGGTTGGGGGTTATGTGAGATTATTGGGGTTATGTCATCTTATATTACTTAATTGCCAAGTTTGGTTGTCAAGTAATATAAGATTCTGGTAATCTTCAAATACAAACAGTAATTATAGTTGGTAATATCGGAGGTAATCTGATTATCTCCATTTTCTTAGGTATTATAAGATTACCAAGGTAATCTTTTTTTCTAATTACAATTCTATCCCTCATTAATAAAACTGTAGGACAATAATACCGATATTTTTAAATTAATTTACATAAATATGGCTTTTACTATCTCACCCCAATTAATTAACTTTTTGGATAAAATTACCCTTGAATTCAAAACAAATTGCAACCCACCCAAGCTACCACCCCCACCCACCTGTTGCTGCCAGTTGCCGGCAACCACCACTGCAGCCGCTACTGTCATTGAAACGGCACACGGAACGCCGGAAATGGCCTTTGTGCGCCGATATGGCCATTCCAGCCAAAAATCTAGCCGAAAATGGCCATACAGTGCACAGAGGCCATTTCCTGCCTTCCGTACGCTATTAGGTTGCCAGCGGTTGACTGTGGTTGCCGGCGGCCGGCAATGGCTAGGTTGGTGGGGGTGCATTGTTAATTTTCCAAACTTTTATTATAGGGTTGTTTTTGCCAAGTTTTTTAATGTAGTGGGGTTATAAATAGTCCAAATAATAATCTAAATAACAATATTAAATAATAATATTTAATTAGAGGACAATTCAGTAATTTAAAAACATACCCACCAATTTATTCCTCCCAACCAAACATATTAATAAAACATACCCATCAATTTATTCCAACTAACCAAACACATTTTCCTAAAGATTTCCAGTAATCTTCAAGATAATCCAACATTCCCAGTAATTCAACATTCTCTGAATCAAACGCATCTTATGAGTTTATTGTGTGCGGCGACTGGCGACTGCGACCGGCGACTGTTTACGGCTACTGACGATTGGTGACTATCGATCGGCGACTGGCGACTTGCGACTGGCAAACATATCTAAAACTTGTATTTGTTCTCCTTGTGGATTGAGGCAAACTAAAACCTCCAACCTATCTTCCCAAATCAGGAAAGTCTCTTTCTTTACCGTTGGCAAGCTCAGCCAATGAACATCCTGCTTAAAGAAAGATGGGTCATGGGTAAAATTTCTCATCTTTACTGTGTTTTTTAGTTCTCTTTCTGGTATAATGATTTTATTTGATTTTAATATATATATATATATATATATTGTGGTTTAATAGATGCAGGCATTATAGGAGAAGATGTAAGATTCGAGCTCCTTGCTGCAGTGAGATCTTTGATTGCCGTCATTGTCACAACGAGGCTGCGGTATTACTGAAATAATTTTTATTATCTCTTTCTGCTTTGTTTAGCTCGAAGCCTCGAAAGATTTGTCTATTTCGATCTGGGTTTTTGATTCATTTTTTATTCTTGATCAAATATTAAAACAATTTCTGGTCGTGATCTGGGATTAGTTGTTACTTGTGCACTTATCTCTGGTTTCTTGTTTTGCTTGAAGGTATTAGTAAATGAACCTTTTTTTTTTTAATATGGATATTCATTGTTTGCTTGTTTTCTCATTGTTTGGATCATTAGAGCATGCTGAAAAATCCCTATGATCGACACGGAATTGTTCATCAGGATGTTAAACAAGTATGGTATCTTTGCCTATTTATTAATATTTTGATTTCTAAAGTTTTGTTGTACTTGAATCCACAATGAAAAGAAGCTTGGATGATTTGGTGTTACAGGTTGGTTGTTCTGTCTGTGATACAGAACAACCGGTACGTATGTGTTCCTTGATTTTGGACATGAGGCTTTCATTTTTGCTGGCATATCTGAATTGCTTGGAAGCATATGGGGGGCTGTAAGGAGCATATTCCAGCTTGCTTCAACTTCGGAGGCTACGGTTAGCACATATGAAGTTTCCATGTGGCTTTCACTTAGGAATGACCTATTCTCCCAGGTTTGAAGATTTTGTATAATTGCTTATGATGATTAGTATGTGTTAAAGTAGGTACCCTAAAGCCAATCAATTATTATAGAATTGAATTTTTGTAATAATGTTTATTAATCAATAAAAGATATTTTTTGCTATATCATGTAAATCATAATTGTATGTATTGATATATGTCCTTAGGATGGTAGAACCGTGACGAGAGTATCAAGTGTTTCAAATCTTAATAGTGAGAACCTTATGATCACATATGATGGTCATTCTAGAAATGTCCGTAGCCCCAGTATTATTATGACCAAGGACACAGATAATATGGTAAGATTATCATAGTGTTGAATGACCCTGTCGAAAGGCAGTAACTGATCTCACTTGTCAAGGTTGTTTACCGACAACCTGGTGCAACACATGGGTGCTTGTTGTAGGCAAGTTCACTAGACTGGCCCATCAAAAGATTCCATATAGATGGTAACCCTAGTGTCTATAGAACAAATCCTCTAACGAATGGTGGTGCATGTGATTCTTAAACTTGGGATCACTGGAGTGCTATGTGCATCGATTGGTGTAGTTTGATATTAGCCTAACGAAGTTCTATTTAGAGCTATCAATATGGTAGCGATTGACTGCATCGAGGAGTGTATCAAGATTATGGTGGATCGACAGAATATTTATCACTCCCAAGTACGGGAGAAGTTATCTCACAACGCGATTCAGTATATAGCAATGATACTAAAGCTGTGGCCAAAGTGGGATTGAGTTTGTTGCCTAATCTAATTTATTATTCCGATCATTGGTCTAGTAATTGAATACAAAGGTATCAATGATAATTGAGGTTGACACTATTTATGTACCTTAGTCTCGATCAGATAAAAGATGATGAAAGAATTTGGTTGCACGGTAACCATATCGTTGATAGGTAGTTGTTTCGCTGAATCCAAATCTATCGGGTGGCCATGATATCTTGCTAAGGGCCAATCTTGGTATGTGTGTAGTGAAATAATTGATTGATGTCAATTGCAATACTACTCACTGTCGATCTAATGGAGAGCCTACGGGTCACACACTTAGAAGACAATTTAAGGATGGTAAACTTTGGAAGGGTATATTCGTCTTTTGGACGAATTGGCATATTGGTAATTTTGCTATATAATTAAATTTATTGAGGTTGTACCCTGTGTCCAATTTTATTATTGGAGTAATTTAACAAAATTGGGAATTTAATTATTAAAGTTAATATTAATATTTAACTAAATAATTAAATAGGGACTTAGATGTGATTCCACCTAAGTTTGGGTTGTTACTAAACTTTGGGGGTGGAATGGATATTTACATCATTATTTAAATGAAGCAAAAATTAGGTTTGATATACAATTTCATTTGTGGCCCTGAGTGTTAGATTTTGACAGCAAATTTTCTCTCTTCCACTCTTCACTCTTATCTTCTTAAACACTCTCCTTAAAGCCAAGAGTTGATTCTAGCAAAATCAATTCTTGGTCTCTCATGTGGATGACGTGAGTTCGATTCCATTATCGAATTGATAACAAAATCGCATTTAGAGATATTGACGGAGCCTCCAAACACCGGTATAATATAATCCTTATATGGATCTTTATTATTTCAATTTAAGCATGTAAAATATATATATAAGACCCTGATCTTGGCAAAATCAAAGTAATTGATGAGCAATAATTTTTGTTTTTCCACTGCTTCAGATCATTGATTTACTAACAGTATGACTTTGCTATGTGAATGGTTCTCAAACTTGACCAAATTTTTTCCAAGTTTTTCGTGCTGTCAGAAGCATATCAAATGGTTTTGTTGCCTTCTTCATGGCCTGCAAGGCATTGTCTCAGGTATTGTGTTTTTACTTTGCTTTATGCCATTCTGCTTTGAAGTTGGTTTTGTTAGGTGCAAACACCTGCTTGAATATCTTTTTGTTCATCTAGCTGTTATCTTCTAGTATGATGCTTTGATTTTGTTAATTGAAGTCGGATGTCTCGGTATGAGTTTATACTTGGCAACAGATGTGATTTACTTGAATTTACTTGCTAAGATTAATTAAAAGGATTCAGCAAATACAAAGAGCTTGGTCATTGTCTAAGGGATTTAGTGTCAATTTGAAATTGAGTTGAAAGATAATTATGCTTGATGTCCTTTTATTCACCTACTTAATCAGAACTTTAATTTCTCTAGGCTTTCTTAAAAACCCACTTTTGATATTTATGAATTTGAAATGAAATTAGTTTTTTATTCTTACAAACTTCTCATCCATGTCTTGCTACTTAATATAATGATAGAATAACGACTTTTGTCAATGCAGGAATCATTCTGTAGTTTCTTTATCTTCCGCAAGGGATACTGTTTTTTTAAAGTTTACAGTTCTTTTGATCCAAGCTTAAGCCTACTACTAATACTTTTTTCTTATGCAATGGCCTGCAACATTTATAATCATATACAGGATTTCATCCAAAGACTGCTTGGTCGAACCCTCAGATCATAAACATAATAGAGTAACATGCGAAGCTCAAAATTTGGTAAGTCATTGTGGATGTGAGTGCATATGCACCTGTGTTGTAGCACATAGAAGATCTGATGAGTCATTTCTTCCAGATGCACACTGATTCATTTACCTACCATTTCTTGAGCTGATTGTGTCATGCTTATGCCTTTTCAGTCAGAAGGAAGGAAACTCAACATGAAGTGAGGTCCCATTCTTTTTTAGGATTTAACAGAGACGAAATTATGTCTCTAGTTCAACAAAGAATTATGTCATTGCTGATGATTTGGGAGTCTTAAAGGGATATATGATCGGAGCAGCTTTTTAGCAGGTTCAATTGCTGGTTTGTCAGATTTGTGAAGAAGGTTTTGAAGATCCAGAAAGCAAATGAAAAGGAAGCTTCAAGGAGCTAGAGAGTGGGATGGGGAAAGCAAATCTTTTTCGATTTTAAGAAATGAATGACATACTGTCTTATAAGAACATCACCTGAAATGCTTCCGCATTCTTTCTGTCAAATTCCCTATTTTTATTGGATTTGAATTGACAAAATGATTAGGTTATGCGCTATAATTTTGCAATATGAATTCTTATTTAAACAAATCAGTTATGCTAATACTTAGTTTTATTGAGTTTAAATTGACAAAATTTCTTAAATATAAATGCTAGTTTAAGTTATAGCAAACATAGGGACAAAATGGTAATTTTATAAGTTTTAAATTTTACTGAGAGGGACAGATTAATGATTTAATCCCCATATATTGTTGAAGGTATATTAATAATTTTATATTTAAAGGGTGGGTATATAGGTAAATGACTGTTGACATGACATTAAATAATAAAAAAATTATTAAGTCAAATAGTAATGGGTGTTTTCGTCTTTACAAAGAATATATACTGTAGTTAAAAAAAATTTACTAACCAAACATAACGGTGGATGGGAAAAAGTTGTTTTGAAACTTTTTTGAGTGGAAAAATATCATTTCCCTTGGGTGGGAAAATGTTGTTTACTCTTTATTGGGTGACCAAACATATGCCATTGGTGTTAATTTCTTTGACACTCAAATCAGTTAAGGATTCTTATACTATATTAAGTTTGCAAAGCTCAATACACGAATGAACAAATTATATCATGTAAATTCTAGAGTGATAAGAGGATTTAATTTTTGGTGAGAGAGTGTTTATGTCTTAATGCTACATATCTTGCATTGTGTATGGAGGGTTTTCATATAAGACCAAGTTCTATGTCTCCAATAATGTGATATTATTTTAGAGATACCCATCATGAAGCACTTAATTATAAAATTTGTATGAACCATTAATACTATATCATTTCTTGATATGCAATGTTTGAAAAAAGTAAATCTGGGATGCACAAAATTATTTATTTTGTATGAAGTGTTTGTGCAAAAATTGACCGCATGATTTTCCCAGAAAATTGAGTGGTTTTGTTTCCAAAGTAGAACTAGAGAAGGAGAGAGATTGTTGCCGACATGGGTGAGGGCCATAAGGAGAAAAGCGTTGTCTAATGCTCAAGTCAAATTGTGTATAAAAGTGATTTTTTTTTTTTTTTTGGGTAATCTTGGTAATTGCATAAAAGAATAAAAAAATGACAGCCTAAATGAGGGAATTCGCCTTCAAGCTACAAACCTTGGACAGGGCCAAGGGGAACAACAAAGCAAGAGCCTAAAACCTAAAGATTTACGAATCCTATACAAAAACCAGCAAACAAAGCTAAAGCAAGAAAACCACAAACAAAAACCCAGCTCTCAAAAACTTTTCCAACTAAAACCCAACCCCAAAGATTGCAACAAAACCACTCGAGAGGATAAAAAAGGGCAACAACTGAGTTTGGCCGAAACCATGCCTGCTAACAAAAGCAAGGAGGCCTCCATAGACCCAGCAAACACCACCAAGAGCTCCCTCCCAACAACCATGCCAGATGGCGATCCCTGAAGAACATGCACAAAACGCAGGCCAATCACAAATAACCTCCCACTACAGCAGGAAGATAAGAAAAACTCCCTCTGCAGCTTAAACAACACACTGAACGGACTAACAAAAATGGTGTAGGGCCTGATTAAATCCTCATACTGGCGAATGACTCCCATAATTGAAAAAGGATCATTGCAAGCCTGAAAATAAAAACACACAGCGCCCATAAACCATCTCAACTTATTTTTGTTCCCAACCTCCCCACCCAGATTCTTCTCTCTGACAACAGCCAAAAAAAACCTCACTTGAAAGAATACGAGGCGGTACATATGTTTCATCCCCCATGCTTATCACGCCCCACCAGTCGTCACAAACAACATTTCTCCTACTTGTTGCATCAAAAAAATTACCTTAAGAGATAATATACTCCATCACAATCTCCCAACGCTTCTCTGTGATACCAACCATCTGAGAAAAAACCACCAAAATATAATTGGAACTCCACCAAACGCTGCTAAGCCCTTCCAACCAGAATTGAAAGAAAGGAAATCTGTACGATTATGCACTACAC